TCAGAACAGGAATTTTGGGGGCGGGATTTAACAGTAGTGCAGCATGCAGAAAACATCATCTCTGCTCTTAAGAGCAGCTCCAGGTGGGTTGGTACCTCCTGCTTCCATGAACTTTAGTCCCTTTCCCACTGGTCTTGGCAGATTTCCTGTCATTGAGAGTTGCCACATTCTCATCAGGCCCCTCATGATTTCTCCTCATCCTTTATCTCCCTTCTGTTGAATGAGTGGCCACTCTCTTACCAGAATCAGCTGCCTCAGTGTAGCAGGAGCTGATCTCAGGTGCTTTGTTGTGTGACAAAGCCCAAATGAAGTCAAGGTCAGCTGAGCCCTTCAATCCAGCAACAAATTGGTTTCCTTCCTGCAAGGGTAGTCCAGAGCAGTGGGAGCACTGTAAATCACTCCAGAAAAAAACCAGTAGGAAACATTGTTTTCCCTTGCTAAGATGAAAACATTAGACAGAGAGACAGTTCTGAGATTGGGAGAGTGTCTAAGAAAAGGAATAGCTAAGTCAGAAATTGAAATGCTTGATCCAAATGCAAAAAGTCAGTGAGCTCCAGTTGTTCTGTGCTTTTGTACTTATTCCCTTCCTATTTCACCTACTTCTTTCCCTTTCCTTTCTATTTAGTGGTAATTGTGTCTGCCAGCTGGCTGCAGGGTACAAATTATTTGTATTCAAAATCCTGCTGGTGCTTAAAAAAAAAACCAAAAAAAAAAACTGAGCTGTTTTAAATGGTCAAATACTGCATCATTTTTATTCTTCCTGGTTTTGAGCTGTCAGACTTGCTGCTTTGCAATCTGCAGGGGCAGAGTTGTCTTCAATCTCATCATTTCTCATGCATTCCAGCTTGATGTTATGGTTTAAAGCAGAACTCTGGAACATCAGGTGCATCATAAAGGACTGGGATAAAGGACTGGCAGCCTGGTCAGTGGCTTATCCAAACCCTGGATCTTGAGGCAAACACTGAGTCAGTGGCAGAGCAAGTTGTCTCTGGGTCTTCTGCTGTGGGATGTTCCCCATGGCCTCTGTTTAAAAACAAAATCACCCCAGAGTCTGCACCCTGGCACTCAAAACTATTTTACATGTGCAGAGAGCAATAGATCAGATCATTAAAACATTCTGACACAATTTGTTGCAAAGACTTTCATAGGTATTGGGTGGAAAATGATCTGCTTTGCCATCTGAGGAAGACTGAGATGCAGAGTATCTGTGTTGTCTCATTCCAAATCCAATCTACAAAAAAACATTTTTCTTGTGTGCTGGGCAGGTAACGTTTCTGTAACAACAGAAAATGGGCATGAAAAAAGCCCAGTTGATTGTAAACATAGGTGAAACTTGTTTAATTTAGAAGCCTCTGTGTGTCACCAGAAGGGCTCTGCATTTCCTGCAGCTCCTGTGTGTGGGGGCTCTGTGTGTCACCAGCCAAGGCATCACTGGTGGCCAAGGACACCTGAGCCTGGTGCTGAGAGCAGGCTCAGCAGTAGCAATGAAAGCAATGAAAAGTCACTCTGACCTGCTGTGAGGGAACCTCTGCACTCTTTGAACACACAGAACAGGCTGCCCAGGCAGGTTGATCACTCTGTCCCTTGGAGATCTTTAGGACTCAATAAATTCCAGCCCTGAGCGCTGGGATCTGATCCCACCTCTGGTCCTGCTGGACCTGGAAGGTTCCTTGGGTCCAGGGTTGTTCAGAGGGTCTCAGTGTCAGCCCTGCCTTGCTGCCTATTTCCCTCAGCTTTTGGCAAAAATTACTCCTTTGGGCAGATTTAGACCCAGGAGAGGCTGCATAATGTATGAGGCAGAGAAGGAGAATTTCCATCTGTCTGCCCCTAAAGCAGGATTTTCAGCCCCAGTGATCCCTGATACCCTGAAAGCCCTGGGAGTCTCTGAAGGGGCAGGTTGGTTTGGATTTTGTGCTAATTGGTACTTAAATTGTGTTGATTTGACACTGTAATTCCCCAGTGGGAGCTGCCATTTCATTTGAGTAAAATTCACTTGTAGAGGACGATCCAGGGAGTTTTTCCCTGCTGCAGTTCTTTGGGTACTGGAGAAACTGGACAGGGGCTTAAATAGTGGCTCCTGCTCAGGCCCAGAAATGCAGCTTTGGTGATCACAGGCATTCAAAGCCTTTACAAAATTAAGTAATATATTCTGTTTACTTTCTAGATTTTTGAATTGCCATCCCTTCTTCTCCCTCTTTGAAGATGTCACTTGCTAAGGACAGTAACCATCAGTTCACTGATGCTCTCCTGGTTCTGTTTTGGAGCTGCCCTTTGAAAACATTTTCTGTTGCTGCAGTTTTTGATGAGCTTCTGCAGAATGTTGCAGTGATGGAGCCACGAGCTGCTTTGGAAGGGAGGATGCACAGGCTCAGCAGGTCCCTTGGGCAGACAGTGGTGTGTGACCAGCAGTGCGTCAAGTTATTCAGAAACCTAAACCAGAATTCAGAAAAACAGCATTTTTCCTGCCAGTTAAGTGTCTGGGCTGGCTTACAATGAGCCAGCTGAGCTGCTGGCAGTGAAAGGCTGGATGAAGGGGGGAGAAGTGGCTCATCTGTATGCATAAACATTCTTTTAGCCTTCATTTCCCTTGGAGTTTAAGTTCACAAACCCCACCTTCTCAACCCTGCTGTTTACCCCACAGGTGCAGCACCCCATCCTCCAGTCAGGACCCTGGGTAGGCACGTGCTGAGCTGCAGTGGAGAATTAGCCTGGCTTAATTTTGTTTTGATGGATGAGTTTGCAGCAGGTTCTTTTTATGTCACTGCCCAAGTGCATTTCTGGGAGCTGGAGAGTGGGAGAAGGGAAGGAGCAGGGAAGCAGGGCAGAGGAGCTGCTTATTTCTCTGAATTGGAATTGCCAGCTTCAGCTGTGCTGGTGTGTGCCTGGAACTGCAGTGCCAGGCAGTGATTGTGTCTGTGCTGATTATTTCACTGCACTGTGAACATTCTAAATGTGTTTCATGGGCTTATGAATTTGGCCCCATGACATTTGGGAAATGCCCTTTCCTTTTTATCCTGGTTTTTCCTTTCTCTGTGTGGGTTGCAGCCCCCAGTGGGGTTGGGATCCAGGCAGGGGATGGATCCCTCATGTATCCATTTGTCCCAAGGGCAGAGCAGGGGGGAGGCTGCCTTGGGAATGGGGGCAGAGGCTTATTTACAGCACTGACCATAATTAAACCTTAGGGCTGGCTGGGAGGAAGAGGTAAAGATAAAAAAAAGACAGCAATTGTGAGGCTCAGTGAGAAAATCCTGAGCCTCACTGATGCAGGAGGAGGCCTTGGAATGACCAAGGGAAACACTGTTAGCTAGAGACCTCTGAAAATTTTGCCTCAGGTCCACACATGTTTCAATTGTCATCATTTTTGAAAAGGCTTTGCTGGCACTGAGGAGGTGGAGAGTGTTAATCATGAAGAAGGAATTCATAAAGAACGTTTTCCTCCACAGAGTGTTTCAAATGTTCTGAGTCTACATGAAATGAGATAAAAAACATTCTTGTGTCCTTCCCTCTCTTGTTCTTGCAGGAATTAGCTTTTCCCTGCAGAGCACACCCATCAGTTTGAGATTTCAGTAGTCCTGGTGATGCAAGTTGCTGCTGGAGGGTCTCACTCCATGGGATTTGGCATCCTGACCTTTCTGCTTTATGCCCCTGGACACTGTCACAGCTGCTTCAGTTTTGCAGGGTTCTTCCTTTGGTCCCAAGGATCCATTAGCAATATTCCTGTCTCTGTTAGCACTGAGAGTTTGTAGAGCAGACAGTTTGTGTGATTGTCCAAAGCAGATTTTTGGGTCAGGATTTATTTCCTTTAGAGAGGTTCTGAGCTGTTTCTCACCAGGTACAGGTGACCCATCACATCCACTTGGAAACATCTTCCCTGGCAGCTTTTCCAGTATGAATTTCAATTCCCAGGACAGATATTTATGCCAAGTTGTGTTGGACAATTCCACTCTATCCCCAGACCTCTATTTCCAGCAACTTCCTCATGTGCTGGGTGGGCCTTGGAGGTTCCTTTCTCAGCTTCCACACTTATGGAAATGAATTTCCACATGAAAGTGTAAAGAGCCTGTGTTCCATTCCACATTTCATGCTCTTTCTTTCCCCTGTCCCATGGATATTTCAGCTGAGTCCACATTTCCTTCCCACAAGTGCAGTCTCTGTGTGGAGGTCTGATCACATCAGAGTAACTGGTGGTTTTAATTATAATCATATTTTGCATAGAAAAAATCAAAGGCTCAGAAAAATCTTATTTCAATCCACAATTAATTAACTTGCCTCTGCCTGACTGGAATTGAAGAGACTAAAATTAGCAAAATTTGTGGCTAAATCTTCTATCAGCTGTTGCCAGCTGTTCATGTTGGGGGTTCTGGCTGTGCCTGATTCTGTGCATTCATATCCTACCTAATCTATCATGTTTAGTTTGCTTTTCATCATTAGCATTACCCAAAATTAAGCTAAATGTCATTTAAAATGGGCTAGAAAGGTCCCATTCTGTGACTTTTTGGTGTCATGACCTTCATTTGGTTGATTTTCCTTTGCACCAGGGTGATGTAATAAATACATGGCTGTACTTTTCCAGCTCATTGATTGGGTTGTTTGCTCCAGTTTGGTTTGCATGCTTGGAAAGGTGTGGATGCTTTCTGCTTTGGATATGTGCTAGAAAGTGCAGTCATTTCACAAACCAGTTCTGGTTTTTAATGGTCTGTTGGCTGAAGACAACTACCAAAGCTTTTCAAAGCAGCAGCAGTCATGTTCTGTGGGATGGAGACAAATAAATTCATTTTCCAAGGGATAAGTGATGTTTCACCCAGTGGGGATGTAAGGCTGAATTTTAATGCACTGCTTGACCTGGGCTTTATATCCTGACCCTCACAAAGCAAGCAGGAGCTCCATGTTTCAAATCAGACCTGGTTTTTTTTTCCATAGAACATTCTCAATGCTGACATTGTCTAGTCCCATTCCCCCTGTGGCAGCTTTCCCAAGGCAGCTCTTTTCTCCTCTTGCAGGAAGCAGCCAACATGTTACGTCTCATTCAGAACAGGCTGAAGGAGGAGGAGCAGCACCTGCTGAAGAGTGGAAGTAAGTGGGATTTCCTTCACCTCTTGGAGTAGCAGAGGAGTTGCTAAGTGCTGGCTACTCCATGTGTAAGTGTCCACTTCCAAGGGGACATGGGGTCAGAGTCAGCAGGCAGGGGTACAACAAGTAGAATTGTGGCAACTTGAAAGGACAGCAGTGAAATGTTCTCTGGGAATGTTCCCTGCCTTGCCAGTTTCACCTGCAGAGCTCAGGAATGACCACAGTCAGCCACTGAATGCTGGGCAATCCCAGAGCAGATTTAGGCTTCATTTTACTGCTCCCACCTGGGCTGGCTGGGGACACAGACTTGTCCCAGCACCAGGGGATTGCTGGCTTGAGAGCAGACTTGGACAGAAGATTCTTCTCAGCCAAATGCTTCATGGAGGTGAATAGTCCTGCTGGTTTGTGCCTCACCACACACATGCTGGGGTGTCCTGCAAAACCAGAGTGTCCTTTCTGGCCCCAACTTCTGTCCTCAGCACTTGTTGAGGACAGAGTTTGGTTCTGTGTTCAGAATTATTCTTTATTACACAGATCAGAACTTTCCCAGATGAGAATTCGCAGCTTAAAATCATCTCTGATATCATCAGTCTTCTCAATAGGATCCACATTTGCCTCCCTGCATTTGTTTGATTTTAGTGTACCTGCAAAATGGGAATGCAATTCAAATTTGGGGTTTTTTTTTTCCTTTTTTTACTAAACTACTTCTTAATTAATTAGGATCAGAAGGGAATTAATGACCTCTTGAGACTCTGTAGAAAGCTCACAAACCAGATACTGCTCTTTTTGAACCAAACACCAGCCAGAACTTAATCATTAACTACCTCTGTGAACTTAATATTGCAGTCTGTGCATTTTTATTTGATAACTGGGAGAAACTAGGAAGAAAGTTAATTCTCAGGATCAGAGAGAAGAGAGTTCATGAAAGCTGAAATTGAGTAAAGACATAAAAGTTGCACTTGACAGTTTGTTTGTTGTCTGAGATTTTCAGAGCAAACTCATGAAAGAGGAAATTCACTGATCTCTGTCCATCTTTGATCTCATATCAATGAAGTAAAGAGTGAAGAAGTTTTAGCTGAAATACAGGATTTGTAATGTAAACTACAAAATGTGTAATTATTTTAAGGGTTTATTTGCATGAAAAAGTTCAAGTCCTGCTCTCTGACAGTTTTTAGGGTGAAAAAGTTCAGGAGGAGCTGGGCATCAGTCACCAGTAACTGGCAGTGTGAGGTGTAACATGAAAATTTGCTGCCCTGCTTTGTCTGTGGATTTTCAGCTGGAAAACTGTTCTGTCATTTTGCATCTCTGAAAGAAAAGGAACTTTGCCTTTTAGTGACTGATTTAACTGCCACCTAAGAATGTGATTATTACTTTTAATGACCTCAAATATTACCATAATACATCTTAATTCAAGTACCTAATTGTCATAATTAGCATTTATTCTAGTGAGAAGAGCACCAGGATCCTGCTTTCCAGAGCTGGCTCAATTATTGACTGTCCCAACACCTTGGCAAACCGAGTCATCTCTGTCAGCTCCACCCTACCTTTGTCTGGGAAAGTCTGCAGGGGAGCTGAGACAGGAAATTTGGCTCTCTGGGACTGTTTTCCAGTCAGGAGCACAGAGATTAATTAATGGAATGCTGTGAAGCTCCCCAAGAGCACAGTCTGCACACACTTAACAACCCTTAGAGCAGACCCCCCTCTCCTCTGCTCGTTATTAATTAAATGCTGTCCTTTAAACAATTCAAACCCAAGAGATTTGCTTTGGTGGGAGAATGCAGAGGTTGGTGTCTCACATTGCACAGTTGGTTTACAGAGCAGCTGTGTTAATCCCAGGGTCCTCATCACAGGGAAAAATACACATTTGGCACAAGAGGAAACAAAGAAAGAGCAGCAGAATGGGCTCAGCCCCACTGAGCAGTTTTGCATGCCCACCTTCCCCCAGGGTTAATTGTGCAACTCACACCAGAAACAGGGATCACCTGAGGGATGGAATTTCTGCTGGAGACGATTCCCAAGGGACCTGCAGCTGGATCTGGCAGTGATTTTATCAAGACTGCTGTGAGCATGGTGAGGAAATGGTGTGAGGTACTGCAGCCTTGGACACTTAAAGCTTGCAGCTGTTTGGATTTTGGATGCTGCATGCTCCTGGGAGGACGTGCCCTGTAATGCTCCAGTGACAGGGAAGAGTAAAGAACTTCACCATCAGAAACATCTTTCTGAAGCAGGCTCTTGGAGGAAAAAATATTTCATAGAATCCCAGACTGGGTGGGAAGGGAGCTTAAAGCTTGTCCCATTCCACTGTCCCAGGCTGCTCCAAGCCCCATCCAGCCTGGCCTGGGACACCTCCAGGGATCCAGGGGCAGCCACAGCTTCTCTGGGCACCCTGTACCAGGGCCTGCCCACCCTCCCAGGGAACAATTCCTTCCCAATTTCTTGTCTAAACTGACCCTCCTTCAGTTTAAAACCCTCACTCCTTGTCCTGTCACCACAGACCCTGCTAAATACTTCATTATTGAGTAATGCCCCCCAAACAAAGCAAGGATGTTTCATCCAAAGTTTTATTCCATCTTTGGGAACTTAGGGATTTGTTGTGTGGGCCCCAGACACCAAGATGGTTGAAGTGGGCCCTGCTCTGACTTGGTCTTGCTCATGCAGCAGGTTCTGGAGATGAAGGGATGGGTTCCTTCTGTGCTCACTGGAATCAGGGCAGGCTGGCATGCTTCTCCCACTATCCCAGGACTCCCTGGCTGATTCTGGAATGTTGGGGTGGGGGAATGAGCTGCTTTGGAAGAGATTCATTGCTTCCCTCCTCAGAGGGGCTGCAGGGGCAGTGCCCCCAAAAGGAGCAGGGCAGGTTCTCTCACTGCTAACATTGTGCCCCTGGGAGCTGCAAAACACGTCATGAGGCTTTTCTAACAGCATGAGCTGGCAGGTGGTGACAAATTTGTTGCCATTAACTGCTAAAAGTCAGCATCTTCTCTGTCCTGTGAGCACTGCTGCCTTCACCTACCCTGGAATTGATCAGCTCTCGCATTGTCTGGATCCCCTGACTTCATCTCCTGCTAATTTGGTAAGAAGGGTTCCAAATTAACATTTCATTTCTCTCTGCAGTGAAGCTGCAGGATATTTGGTCAGCTGTCAGATGAGTTTCAGGCTGAGAAGCCTAAATCCTGTTTCTCATAAAGGAGAGCTGTGGGATGGAGGTTGAATTGTGCTGGTCTGTGTTAAGAATAAAGTCCATGGATATGAACTTTCACATAAAACTGGCAAAATTGTTTAGTGTTGCTGATCAACAGTCTGGTTCTTTTTTCTTTTGCTTCCACACATTGCAAATCAGCTTTTCTCTCTGACAGAGCAGCTCCAGAAAACCACTGCACTGAAAAAAATAACCAAAAAACCAACACTAAATTGTCTGAAGTACTGTTCTTAAACAACATGAAGATTTTGAACTCTAGCTACAGATCAGGCTCTGAGTATTATCTGCCTGATGAAAATACACACAATTAAGCATTTGCAGCAGTATAAAAATGTCTTTTGTGCTGAGCAGGGAGGAAATTGCTGTTATTTTTCTAATCTTTGCTTGGCAGAAGTTGTTCTTAGGCTGATCCAGGCAGTGGTGTCTCACTGCTAGTGTCTCTCTGCTGCCCCTGTGCCACATCCAGGACTGGTGCCACATAACAAATCCAAATGCATGAAACTCAGGGCTTGGTTTCCTTGTTAATGCCAAAGTGACAGCTAAAACAGTGTATTAGACATTGCTTGGATGAAGGCTGGAGATAGCACTCCTGTCAGGTGTGGGTACTGGATGCTCTGGTACTGGACTCTGGGAGAGGAGAGGCCAGGGAAGGTCACTGATGACAGCAGAAATTCAATTTATTTCTGCAGGTTTATCCAAAATTACAAAAACTTCCTTCAGCAAAAAGGAACAACTTGCAATGTATCTAGGTTGAAATATTTTTTCAGACTCAGCAGCTTATTGTACTTACAGGTCTTTCTTTTTCTCTTTTTTACACACTTTTTCCAATGCATTTTCTCATATTCTTTAAGAGCTTTTTATCAATTTACAAGCAGGCAATGCAGAATCACAGGATCACAGAAAGGTTTGGGTTGGAAGGGACCTCAAAGCCCATCCAGTCCCACCCCTGCCATGGCAGGGACACCTTCCACTGTCCCAGGCTGCTCCAAGCCCCATCCAGCCTGGCCTTGGACATTTCCAGGGATCCAGGGGCAGCCACAGCTTCTCTGGGCACCCTGTGCCAGGGCCTGCCCACCCTCCCAGGGAACAATTCCTTCCCAATATCCCATCCATCCCTGCCCTCTGGCACTGGGAAGCCATTCCCTGTTGTCTTTGCACTCCAGGCCCTTGTTCAAAGTCTCTCTCCACCCTTCTTGTAGGAATATATCTGAGCTATATTTTTTAAAAAGTAAAGTATTTTGTTTTGAAAGTGTAAAAACATAAACTCTTTCAATTTTTCAAAATATTTCCTGTATTTCTTTTGACCAGTGCTGTGCCCAGGATTAATTTCTATATGCAGTATTTGCTGTAAAACTGAATTTTTCATTGACTCTGCCACTTTCTTCTTTTTGTGCAGCTCCACTCATTCCACCCTGCATCCTCTTGCTTGGTCTGTAAAATGAATAACCACTCATTTTCCCCAGCATTTGGAAATCTGCACTACTTGAATCTTGTTCAGCAGCAACCAGAGGATTTAACTGATGCTCCTGAGTGCACCCTTTCTACTCCAGAGCTGATGCTTTAAAACCTGCCAGCAGACAAAACAAAAAGCCCCATTGCAGCAGCTGTGGGATTTGAGGGGTAACTCCTGGATGATATTGCTGGTGCTCAGGCCATCCATCTTCTTGTAAGAGACACTTGGAACTGCTCCACAGGAGCTTTGTGTTGTACTTGTTGGGTAATTGCAAATTCATGGTCTAATTTAATAGTGCTTGGATGGATTTTTGGCATGTAAGACTGTTAGAAATAGTTCTGGTCACCAAATATGACCTCTTTATCAAATGGGCCCGAAAATAACCTAACTGCTCACTCCTGCTCAGACTCCAAATCCCAGTTTAAGTGGAGCTTGTCATCCTGTGTTAATTTTAATTATTTCAAGTGGCTGAGACCTGTTGGTTTCCCAGGCAGTGGTTAATCATCCTTAATGATGAATTTGGAGTTTGGATGCTGTAGATAGACCAGGCTGGATGGACTTGGAGCAGCCTGGATTAGGGGGAGGTGTCCCTGCCCATGGCAGAGCTGGAATGGGATGAGTTTAAACTCCCTTGCAACCCAAATTATTCCATGATTCTGTGATCTTAAAATGACCAGGCAAGGTAAATAAGTGCACTTAGAGCTACCTCTGCAACCTTCTTGTTGCTGTATGTTGCTGTTACTGCCCAGTTTTTGGCTGCACAGCCAAAAGAACCAAAAAGTCAAAGAACATCCAGGTTTTCCACTGGAATTCCAGGAGTTACACACATCTGGACCTTGCTCAGTAGCTCTCAGTACCAGGCTGAATTCCTCTTAGAGACCAGATGACAGATCTCAGTTTTGTGCTGAGGACAAAGGACATTTCCTCCAGGTATTTTTATACCCAAGCCTTTCTTTCCCTTCAGATGGCAGAGCTGTGGGTGTAGGAGCATGCAGGCTGATCCAGAGCCTGGTGCTGTGGGTTTGCTGTGACAATAGGATGGGTTAGGCAGAGCTGAGGCTTTCCACAGGCACTGGGAGAAATCACAGTGGATAGACACATCAGAAATCCCAATCCCACCCCCTTTGGTTTTTGCTGTTCCCTTATTTCCTGCTAGCCATTAACTGGATTTCATTTGGGATCAAGTGGCTGTCAGTTGCCCATTTGATTGTTCTCATGATGCTTTCTCACCAAAACCAGCATCCTGCTGAGTGCAGTAATTGCTGTGGAGCCAGTGCCTGTGTTTCCAAGGCAGTGATTTTCTACACAGCACTTCCAGCTAATTCCAGAGCATATCAATAAACAATGGCCACTGTGCTCATTATCCTCACCACAGTAACTTCTTCTTTTACAGCTGGATACCTTTACTTGAATATTGATATAAACTACCAAATCTGCTATGAAATCACCGCTAAGTTATTAAATCATGCTGCTTTTCCTTCAAGCATTGCAAATTACCAGAAATTAAATCATTTCAATATAGTATTATCTGTCCAGGTTTCAGCTGTGGCTTTTTTCTGGGAGCAGGAACAAAAATCCCACCTTTGGAGATCAGTGGAAGCAGGATGTATTTTTTGTGGCTGGACAGTTTTAAAGGAAACTAATTTAGTTGACTGAAACCCATGTTTATGAAATAGAAATGTTGAAATGAAAGGCAAGTGGGGTTTAAAATCCCACTATATCCTCCCTCAGCTAGGCTGATATTTGGAGTGTTTTCTGTGCAGCAGAGGCAATCACACCAGTGGGCCCAACACAATTTACAGACTTATTCTGCTGATTACCTTTTCATAATAAAAATACAAGAGCTGCTTAAAACCTCAGTCTGAAGCTTCTGGAAGCTGCCAGCTTGGCCTCAATTGGAGGACATGGATTGCTGAATAATAATAAATAAGTCTGTTGTGAGCATTCCAATAATCCTCATGTAAACCCATATAAATCTCATAAGCCAGCTCCATTCAGTGGGTTCTGTACTCCATGTACAAGCACGTGGCAATTCTGGTGCCTGTGGATTATTATCTGCATTGCTTTATGCTGATCCTGAGAAAAATCTGGGTTTTTTAATAAGGAATGTTCCTTGTCTCTCCAAAACTGATTGCAATTGGCTGTGCAGTGGTACACTTAAGACTGTGGCTTCTTCAAGGGCAATCAGTCTTTTTGTATGTTGTTAGATGAAACTTCCTGAACTGACACTTTTTATAAATACCAAGAATATTTTGGTGAGAACTGGGCACACTGGGTGTAGAGTGAGGAGTTGGTGGTGAAACACTGCCTAGGACACAGCACTGGGCTGGTGTTTAATCCTGGGAAAAAGCCTGTACTCAGCTTCTCTCTATCTTGTGTTTTTGAGTAACTTTTTAGCACTCTGCTCTGGTTCTGTGTCCTTGGGATTCTGGCTCAGCACAGTTCAGCTCAGCTGATAACTCAGATTGTACCTGGGCAGAACTGAGCTTGGTGATAGCGGGATTTGGCTTGATTGGAGCAGTATATTTAGGTTTGGGGAGTGGAGAAGGTGCTTGATGTCTTTTTATGAGGGAGCAGGAGGCTTGGAGGCAAGAATTTTGATACTGCTGAATTTGCATTTGCAGCTGTCACTTCTCTGAGCCTCTGGCACGAGTTCACTGCAGGGATGCTCCGAGCTGGGCTCTGTGTTCCAGGATTCCAGCCAGGCTGTTCAAGGAAAACCCAAACTCTTGCCGTGGATCCATAACAGGATTTGTTTCAAAGTCACAACTCAGCAGGAAAAGTGCTGTACTGTGGTTATTGGGAAGAAACTCTTCCTGGGAGGGTGGGCAGTCCCTGGCACAGCATTCCCAGAGAAGTGGCTGCCCCTGGATCCCTGGAAGTGTCCAAGGCTGGATGGGGCTTGGAGCAGCCTGGGACAGGGGAAGGTGTCCCTGCCATGGCAGGGGATGGGACAAAATGGGCTTTGAGGTCCCTTCTAAGCCAGGCCATTCCATGACATGCTGGGAGTTCAGTTGATGAATTTGTATTTTCATTTGGCCTGAAAGGCAATCCAGGATTTTTAAAGGCACAGGGGAAGAATTTCTTCCCCATATCCCATCCAGCCCTGCTCTGTGGCAGTGGGGAGCTGTTGGTCCTGCTCAGCTGGCAGCTCATGCTCAGGAGATCCCAGACAGGAGCAAGAAGCACAATGGGCATGGAATGGGAAAGGTTTGGCCAGTTAATCAGTGGGCTCCCTGCAGCATCCTCAGCTCCTGGGAGTGCTGCTGCCTAACAGGAACACAGATGACAAAGCCTGAAGGGGAGAAATTTATGCTAAAAATAAAATAAATAACCAAGAAGGAAGAAAAAAAATCTCACAAAATAAGAATGAGGACATGAGCAGTAAGAGCCATCACAGATGTGATAAATTCATTCTTTAATATATTGAGCACAAACTGGAATCCTTTCTGGAAGCTCCACATGGCTCCTCCCAATGAGTTTGCCCGTGGAAGGCTGAACAAAACCTCAGTTTCATAAATGCCAGGCAAACAGAAGCAGCATCCAGGTCACACAGCAGTGAGTGATTCCCTCACTTGCCAAAGAAGAAAGTGCAAATAGAAATTATAGCTAACTCTGCTGGAGCCTTGTAATCTTCCCAGGCTAGCAGATACTTCCCTTGCCATTATTATTTTCTCATTAACTTAATATTGCAGTGAAAAAGAGGATGGGAAAATGTCTAATATTTGTATATTGTCCGATAATTAAATACTGCAGAGATGTGTCAGCTCATTACTAATCCTGATTAAAGTAGTTATTTCCATTTTCAGCTCTGACATGTGTGTAATTAAATGTACCTGGGAAAGAATTGCCTATTTTCTCTAAACAATCAGCAGCAAATGTTACTGTGCTGGGTCCTCCCATGGAGTCCTGTTGGGTTTGTCCTGGCACTGGGCTGGGAACTCTGCTTTGCATGGGGAAAAGGAAACAAAGGCAGATAATGAAAATATCTGAAGAAGTTCCTGTCTTTGGAAGCTTCCCTGTCTCTCCAGCATCTTGGGTTGGCTGTAGCTGCATTCCTTTATCTGGGGATGTGGAACTGTGCTTCTCTAGCATTAAATGAAAGGCAAATACTCGAAGGAGATGGGTTTTGATATTGCTGGTGGCAGGGTAAAACCAGGATAATAAACACATACTTGACAAATGCTTTTCAAAGAGTTTGATCTTTAAATCACTCGCTGAAGTAGCACCTTCATACCCAGAGGGTGTTTAAGCAGCACCTTTATGCTACAGTCTGGGGTTGTCCCAAGGCTCTGACAGTGGGTGCTGCTTTGGCACTGCCTTGCTGAAGGATTTCTCCTTGGGATGTGAACATTGGCTGTTTTCCTCTGCTCTCGTGCAAAGCCAACGCTCTGCAGCTGCATTTTCAATTCCTCTTGGGCTAGAACAAAGGTAGAGCCGCTGGTATCTCCTGTGTCCAGCTGCTCTTCTGGGCTGGGGGTTGCTGGGGGTGATATTAATCAGCTGGCTTTGTTTTTAACCAGGTAATGATGACTCTGACATAGAAATCCAGGAGGATGAAGGATCTGACAGCGAGAGGGATTTGCAGATCCCGAGGCACCGCATCAGCACGGAAGCTCTCCTGCCAGGTACTCTAACCCTTCTTGAGCTGCCTTGATCCACAAGGATGTGCTGGAATTACCTGAGTAGCTGCAAATGTGAGAAGCCCCTGTCACCCTTCAGGATATTGGCACTGCTCAGCTCTCAGGAGCTGCAGGAGGATAAAGCCCTGTGGAAAAAACAGCGCTTCCAGGGGAGCCAATGAAGGATTATTTAGTGGGGAAAAAAGTGATTGTGTGGGGAAGATCCCACTTTGGTATTGCTTTACACATTCCTGAAGCAGTCCTTTACAAAGCCATAGGGAAGCAATGCCATTTCTCATTGCAAATGCAAAGCATTTACTTCCCTGTACTTTCTTGGCACCTTTTTAGCTGGGAAACCTTCAGTGAGTCAATAAAGCCACCTGCACTGGCTGGGCACAGGTGGACACACCTGAGCTGCTGCTGCCAGGGTGGGATGTAAGCCTTCTGTCCTTCTGTCCTTCTGTCCTGCTTCCTGGGGACTGCAGCTCCTCTGGCTGCTCCCACTGCTCACAAGCAGCTTAGAGGAGTTGCTGTGTGAGGGTCTGTGTTTTAGGTGGGAAAAGAAATGTTCTGCTTAGTCTGGAGTCAAGCAAAACACAGCCAGGAAATCGGGGAAGTTCTTTTTGGTAGCAGTAAGGGATTCTGAACTGTCAGCATAAACCTCTCTGGGGTCTGGAGGAAGAGCCTGTGTGGAGGATTTCAGGTGCCACCACTCGTGCTGGAGCCTGCTCCTTAGATAAACTGTGGGGTTTTGTGAGTGGAATTCTGCTTTCCCCTTTCTGACTGAGACCAGGGAAAGAAGCTGATGTTCTCAAGTCAGTGTAATTCCAGCATTTTTATTTTCCCTTCCTCTATTTTTCTTGAAAATTGAAAAGTCTTGTTAAGTGCTAGAAACACTGCTAAGGAATACTGTATATTGACATTTCTCAAGGAAAGGTTTGTACACAGATTTTAGAGCTTTGGAAGGGACCCTGTAGCTGTCAGTGGTGCTTCATCCCAGAGAACACCATGACCTGAGTCCCTGCTGCTCTTAATAGCAGTTTTAGAGTTTTACTCTAAAAGTTGTAGATTTTGCTCTCAGATTTTTTTCTAGGAAGAGCTTTGTTATCATTAATTACCCTTAATGGAAACTCAGTATTAGTTTATCAGACTTTAAGACCTGAGATTAATGTCAAAAGCATCAGCTTCTTTAGAAAACCAGAGTTGAATATTCTCTGCCTGTTTGCTGTTAAACACACCACGGATCTGCTGGTGTTCTTCTGTAATTTGCATTTAAAATACACTTAATGATCAAGGCAGCATAACAAGAACATTATTTCTATTAATTACTGCTTTTTTCCTGGACTCAATTTAAGATACCTCAATCACTTTCTTTTGAAGCTTTGTGTTTTCTTACATGGAGATGCTGCTGAGCCACATTTGCTCTCAAGCTGAGGAGAAAGGGCCCACTGTGCTCAGTCCCTGTGGCTGCTGGGGTGCACTTTTACATCTCTAATTCCCAGGTTATCAGTGCTAGGAGATAAGGCTTCCTCCCTCTCTCTGTGGTGGGCAGATAGTCCAGTGTGTTTTGCTGTTAAAGAGGCAAGATACTCAGGGAGAGATAATCCCTCTTTTTAGGCCACTTGGTATAATTGAGAAAAATCAGCACACTCACCCTCAAGAGCCCTTTCATCAGCTCAGTCTGGATGCAGCAAAATTCAAACTAAATGAAGGTTTAACAATATTGCTCCTGGTTTTATTCCTTCAGACAATTAAAATGATAGGATTTGCTTTCCCATGGAACACCAAAGAGGGAGCTGGGGGAGACTTGTGTGGTGCAGAAAGAAAATAGACCCCTTCCCCACATGCAGAGAGGAACAGGCAGGAGCCCCTGGAATGGGCTCTGGAGCTTTGACTTCAGTGCTGCTGGGTCAGCAAACATGGCAAAACCAGTGTTAGGGAAGGGCTCTGATCCTGGAGGGAGCAGGGAGGTGAGAGTTTATGGCTGGGACAGCAGGGGCCAAGCTGCAGGTGCTGCCTGTGGGCCTGGGAAACTGCAGCTGCTTTATTGTCACAATATCACACTTAGAGGAAAGTCCCCTCCTTAAGGGGGCTTATTGTAGTAAAGCCATGTGTCACTGATCATTTGCTTTTGTAGATTAGAAAATACCCTGATTTATCACAGAATCACAGACTGCTTTGGGTTGGAAGAGCCTTAAATTCATCTCATCCCACCCCAGCCATGCAGAGACACTTCCACTATCCCAGGCTGCTCCAAGCCCCGTCCAGCCTGGCCTGGGACACCTCCAGGGATCCAGGGGCAGCCACAGCTTCTCTGGGCACCCTGTGCCAGGGCCTGCCCACCCTCCCAGGGAACAATTCCTTCCCAATATCCCATCCATCCCTGCCCTCTGGCACTGGGAAGCCATTCCCTGTGTCCTGTCCCTCCATCCCTTGTCCCAAGTCCCTCTGCAGCTCTCCTGGAGCCCCTTTAGGCCCTGGATGGGGCTCTGAGGTGTCCCTGGAGCCTTCTCCTCTCCAGGTGAGCACCCCCAGCTCTCCCAGCCTGGCTCCAGAGGGTCTCCAGCCCTTGGGGAATCTCCATGGGCTCCTCTGGACTCTCTCCAGCAGCTCCACGTCCTTCCTGTGCTGGGGATGTCAGAGCTGGAGACAATCTGGTCTCTACATTTTAATTTTAGCATTGTCAATGTGAATAAAATTTCACATCCATTTTTACTCTGTCTGGCAATAGATATTGGAGGCTGTGACAAATACAATGGACTTCCCTGAATTTGTGGTGGCACTTGCAGTAAGATTCTTGTCAGAGGGCCAAAGGACAAGAAATTATTTCAGCATTGAAAGCCTTAACCATTTGCAGTGTAGAGAAAGCTCTTGCCTGAAACAGGCTATAGATGAGTTTTTTGCAGCAGGACGGTTGTTCATGTGCAGCTGGGGTGAACTTTGGGGTGAAGGATGCACAGTCTTGGGAATGCAGAAGCTGGCGTGCTGGATCAGCCATAGCATCCAGCCAGCCTGCTCTCTCCCCAGCCCTGGCTGAAAGAAAATGTCTGGGGAAGCACTTGGGAAATTCCCTCAGGTTCCCTGCTGCTCTCAAACTGTTTCAAACCCATCACTTGTGGCTTGCACAGATGTCAGCTAACCCTCAGTACATTTATTTTCTCCTAAGAACCTGTCCAGCCTCCCCTTAAACTAAATAGATTTTTGTCACCCATGCTATCAGAAGTGACAGATTTTGAAGTGATGTTATAATTCCATGTGGAAATCCATCTTTTCAGTCACTGGGACTGAAATTCACTGTGGATCATGAGGATCTCTCCCTTTGCAGGGCTGGTGGGTGGGGACACACAGTGCTGGTGACAAGGCAGTGCTGCTGAATGAAGCCAAAATGGTCCATCCTTGTGGAGCTGTGCCTGGAAATCACCTTCTATTGCACACTGCCAGGCTGTTTCAGCTCCTGGGAACCCTTTCTCCCTGTGCTGTGGCTCTTGTTTCTTTTTATAACATCAGTGTAAAGGGCTGGTTTTGTCCAGACCAGAACTCAGAGAACATTTCACTTCTGAGACAGAACAACTTCATCCCCATTTGATCTGTACTGTGAGAAGACAGCTGTATAAAACCCTGGTTTTTTAGCAGACAATCAGTCCAAAGTCACACAGTGAGAGCAGCTCTCTTGGAGCCCCTTTCCTTGGCAGAGCTGGCCCAGAGGCTCAGGGTGTTAATGATGTGCTGGCAGAGAGGGCACTTGCTGCTGAGTGCCTGTGGGACCCTGCATGCTGGGGGAAAGCTGCAGAGCCTGAATTATCCCTCATTTTTTTCACTCCTGTAGTGAAAAGGAGAGTTTTGACATGCAAATCTTCTCAGGTGAGCCCCCACAGTCCTGTTTCCAATCCTTCCATACCGCAGGCAGGCTGAGAAGCAGGGAAATCCTTTTGTCAGTGGGAATTGTCAGTCTGCTTGTGGAATTTCTCTCTCCAGCTTATGGCCATGTTCAGATTTCTGCTCTGGAATTTCCAGAGTGTTTTCCTTCCCTTTCAGCCTCCTCCAGGTGTGGGCCATCCCAACACCAAACCTAGTGAAGAAGGAGGAGAGGCTGTAGGTCTGAAATGGTGGGAACACTTCCAAGCAGGTTTCCTTTTAATGGAGGTGTAAGATTAAAACTGAAGTGTGCTCCCCCACGCAGCAGCTGTGCTGTGCTTAATGAATCCCTGGATTTTTGCAATGCCTGGAAAATGCTGCTGGGATCAGGGTCTTACACTAAGGGAGGGGATTGCTCTGCTCTGGCCTCACCTTGGGTCTGGGGCAGTTGTGGGTGCCACATCATCAGAAGGATCTAAAGCTGTTGGAGAGTGTCCAGAGGAGGGACATGGGCACGGGGAAGGCTCTGAGGAGCAGCTGAGGCACTGGGATTGTTCAGCTGGAGAAGGAGACTGAGGGCAGGGCTCAGCAGGGGCTGCAGCTCCTCCCGAGGGGCAGCTCCGGTCTCTGGGACAGGGACAGGAGCAGGGAACGGCTGGAGCTGGGCCAGGGCAGGCTCAGGCTGGAGATCAGGGAAAGGTTCTTCCCCTAGAGGTGCTGGCACTGCCCAGGGAATGGGCACAGCCCCGAGGCTGCCAGGGCTCCAGGAGTGTTTGGACACTGCTCAGGCACAGGGTGGGGTTGTTTGGTGTCTGTGCAGGGCCAGTGGCTGGACTGGATGATCTTTGGGGGTCCCTCCCTGCTCAGGATATTCGGGATATTCAGGATATTCAGGATGTTCAGGATATTCCATCATTCTGTGATTAAGAACTGTGTCCAAATGGCAACAGTTCAGAAGGATCAGACAGAAGGTTCATCCCATTTTTCTGTGTGTGGAAGGGAATGTGATACAGTGAGAGGTGTCTTCTGTGAGCTCATGCTGTGAATTCACATTAAACACTGGAGACTGACTGCAGATCTCCAGACTGGGAGCAAAATGTGTCAGCTCCAAATCCACCTGCCCTGCTCCCAGGCTGTCTAGACTCTCAGGTTGTGTGTCAGTCCTTGCTGTGAGGCACAGGGTTAACCTGTACCTGCTGCTGGGTGAGGAGGTGGAGATCAGCTGTACAGGTTGGTACAATGGGGAGCATCACACAGAGGGAAAATGGCAACAGCTCACAGACTCCAAATCAGGGATGCACATTCCCTTCTGCCCCCTGAGGGCTCAGTGCCTACAAACCATGGCCATGCACAGGGAGATTTGACTCCAGAGGTGCAGTGAATCACAGCCTGTTCATCACCAGCATCTTTCCTAATTCCTGCTCTGTACAGCCTGTCCCAGCTGGATTCCCAGTGTCTGTAAGGAAACCCCACAGGCTCTCTCAGAAGCTGTGTGAGCCCAGGAAACCAAGGGACAGCACCCCCAGCTCTCCTGTGCCATGCAGGTGACTCCTCTGCTTCCTGCCTGCCCTCAGCACACACAGAAACACACCCTGGCCATTCCCCACACAGGGAAACTTGGGGATTTATGGTGTGGGAGTGAAAATAATGCTCTGTGGAAAATCTGGTTTCTCTCCTCTTTGCAGCTTAGTGCTCAGGTGAAGTCCCAGCCCCTCTGCATCCTGGGGTCTCTCCTGGGAGTGTCCCGGGGTTTGCTGCAGGACCTAACCCTGCTGATCCCACAGCTGCTGGATCAGAGAGATGCTCCTGGCTTAGAAAATGCAGGGATCCAAGTCCAGGCAGTAGCAGATCCTCGAGTTTCCCCAGGTGTGTCCATGGGATGTCTGCACTGCTCCCACTGATGGAGGAGCAGCATCCTGCACACCCCCTGTGGGCATTCTCTAAGCCCTCCCCATGGCATTTTGAACTGGTCTATTCCATCAGCTCTCTTAATATTAATTAGTTAAAATATTAATTAAATTCATTAAATAAAAAAGATCTTATTTTTCCTTTATATTCAGAATCTCTCTCAGTTTTGTCTTATTTTAGGAGCTCCCTGCAGCTTTCTCCTTTTTGAGGTAGTAATTCCCTATTTTACACTTCATGTTGAGACTTCTACAGAGTAAGATTGAAGTTAAAACTCAGGAGTCATTTATAAGCTGGGCAAAAGTGGAGTTCTGTTGTCATCTAAGGATATCAGGTGTAATCACCTCCAAATTTATATAGTTTAGTGTAGCATAAATTAGAGCAAAAGTCTCCAAAGCCTGAGGACAGAACTATCCAGAAATCTTTTAATTCCATCTCCACTTCTTGTGTAATCAGCAACTGCTGCATAGAGGCCACTGCTTTTTATATAAAGACATAAAATCCTTTTAATGACCTGCCTTGATACAGCAAGGTTTTTTTGGTGAGCTGTGGATGAGTTAGGCAGCTTTTTCCTACCACTAACTCAGCTCAAACTGCGTGGGACAAAGGGGACCTGTCATCTTTTGTGCTTTGGGAAGTAGAAAAAAAGAGGTTTGCCAGGGTATATTTTAAAGCTGCCTTGTTTTCATGCTAAAAACAGCACAGATTGGATTGTTCTAGGTTGAAACAATCTGTATTTGGCATGGAGGAAGCTGGTGATGGCAGGAAATGAACAGATGGTGAGATGGGATGGACACAGCGGGGTTGGAAATGGGATCCAGTGTTGAGGGGGTTCTGTGGCTGCAGCAGCAGGCCTGAGTCACCCCCACCTCCCTCTTCAGCCTCACACATCAAACTCCAAACAGGAAATTCTTGAGGTTTGCCTGGGCTTGGCCAGGAGTTCCTGTGAGACTCAATCCATCCTGGAATATCAGAAAGGGTCTGAGCTCCCTGAAGGACAAAGGATTCACAACATGATAAAACCAGGCTTTTGTTCTCTGTGTGCCAAAGCACAGGAAGAAATTTGTCAGTTCATGGATTTTTATGGGTTGGAAGGGACCTCTCAAGATTATCTAGAGCAACCTCTCTGCTCTAACAGGAGGTTTGAGCTGCCTGTCCAGGACCACATCCAGTTTGGTTTAGAGTATCTCTATGGATGGAGACTTCTAAACTTCTCTTGGCAACCTTGTTCCAGTGTCTGACTGCCCTCACAGTAAAAAAGGTTTCTTGGTTCGGATAGAATTTCCTGTTTCTTAATGTGTCCATTGCTTCATGTCCTGCCAGAACCATCATGCTGGAATAAATAGCACCCTGACTGGAATTAGAGTCATAGAATCATTAATATTGGAGAACTGCTCCAAGATCATTGAGTCCAGTGTTAATTCCTGTCAGTCTTACCCCCTCCTACCTTCTCCTGAGCAATGAGGTTTAACAAGGGGGGGTGACTATGAATTGGGGTCTCACCCTCTCACTGAGGGATTCACCCTGAGCTTTACCCTTCCTCCTCCCTCCCTGTGGCCACGAGCCAGCTTTGATGGGATTCTCTTTGCTCCTGCAGGAAGAGTTGGCACTCGGATCGTGGGATCAATGCAGGGTGGAGACACGGAGGAAGATGTGAGTAACCATCTCATGTGTCTGCAGAGCTTCTCTGACAGGGCTTTAGATGCCAGCCCTCTCCTCAGCTGCAGAGACACCTTTTTACCTGCTGAATCCTCACACCCCAGGCCTGCTTTTCCCCTCCTTTCCAATGGCTGACACCTTTCCTTGACATAGATGTGTATTTCCTTATTTTTCCTTTGTTCTTGGAGCCTGTGTGCTCCGTGTGCTTTGACCCCATCCTGCAGAGCAGAGCTAGTGGCACACAGGCTGCAGGAATGCTGTTGTGAGCTGTGGGGCAGGTTTCTGGGAAGAGGGACCAGTGCAGTGCAGCAGGAGTTAAATATATGGACCTAAATCCCCTTCATTGCTTTACGAAGTCTCTCCTTGGAGCCCTGTACTGGCAGAATCCATCCTCTGGGGGATGGGGCAGGGATGAGAGCAGGACTGTGAGCTGTGCCCTTGGGGTTCCTGCTGCCCCAGGGCTCCTGGCCTTGCACTGGGTTGTGGTTTACATGTGAGTGGACAGTGTGAAAGGCACACACAGGTTTGCACAGGAGGCACTTGCTGTGCCCAGCCTTTGGCATCCATGGGCAGCCTTTCTGTGCCTCTGGGCACACCTGAGGGGCTACATCTGCACCAGGAAGCTGAAGCCAGCTGCTGGGATGTGGTTGGCATTTGCAGTTAGCTCTCCCCAGAAAGCTGCTGCCATCCCAGGAGCAGTGGGGCTGTTCTCTCCAGGTGATGCTGGAACACTGTTTTGGAGAGTGCTAGGAGACAGTGCAACTGTGGTGCCTGTGGGTTTGTGTTTGAGCCTGTGCTGCTGTTAATTCCCAGTGTGGATGGAACCTTTCTGTCTCAGTCCAGCAGACACCCCTCAGTGCTGCCTGTCTCAAGGAGGGGAGTTCAGACATTTCTGGGAATCTCAGAATGGTTTGAGTTGGAAAGAACCTTAAACCCCATCTTGTTCCACTAGACCAGATTGCTCCAAGCCAACATGACTTAAAACAATTCCAGGCATGGGGCAGCCACAGCTTTTGGGGCACCTTCACCTTGTGTCTGGAAGAGGAACTTGCAGCCCATGCTCTGCTCTTTGCTCCTGCCAGAGTGGGTGTGGTGAAGGCTGTTGTTGACTCCTGGACATCCAGACTCATTTCTGGGATGGGCAGAGTGTTGTGCTGGGGGTGAAGATGTCACTTCAGTCCCAGCACTGCCTGATTGTCCTCAGCAGTGTTACTGACAGGTTTGGACTGTCACCCTCTGCCATTCCCGTTCCCTTTCCCTGCTGGCAGCTCTCTCCCTGCTGGCACAGTCCCAGCACATCCAGGGATGGAAAGCCAAGGCCTTCAGCCTGTGACTTCCCTCAGCTGCAGCCACTTCAACTGTCTCATGGCTCTGCCCTCTGACTGCAGCTTCTCAGAGCTCAGGGATCTTTGCAGGCCTCTGTGTGTCCCAGATCAGGGGAAAAAAAAATAAAAATTAATCAGGCAATGCAAAAATCAAAATAATCATAAGTTGCATTGCTGGCTAATCTGCAAATTATTGCAGTCACAATTAAACTTCAGAGAAAGCCCCTGTTGAATAAAATGCCTTCAAAAATAGATCAAAAAGTTTATAGATATTGCATAATAGATTATATATGGATATTGCTTTTCTAATGATATCTACTGGTTTTGCAATCACTGAAGCTGCTTTGAACCCTCAGGGAATTGATGGAGTTAGGAAGAGCCAGCAGTGTGTGCCTGGCCTCTGTCACCTGCTGGTGTGGCACAGGATACCTGAGCTGTGCCTGCCTTCTCCCCTGCTCCCAGCCTGGGTACTTTCTGTTTTCTTTTATGTTCTTGTGCTTTTTTTTCCTGCTCTGCCTCTCGTGTTCCTCCACTCTGGCTCTCCAAGGGGACCCCAGCCCCGGCACGGCCAGGCCGGCGCAAGGCACAGGTGGGTTCCTGTCCTGTGGTTCATCACCTTCACCTCACCTCTGTGGTCTCACAGCAGCTGGCACCCGAGTGCCACACAGCCTGCCAGGCTTTTAACAGCCCAGAGCCAGCAGGAGTCAGGGGATTTGTGTCCATCAGCCCTGTGGGGTGGGGAGGGAGGTTTGCAATCCACCAGGAGAGCAGGGGGACACCGGCGCTGCCATCCCTCACTTTGGGCTGGCCATGGACTCTCATTTCCTGTCCTGCAGGACTCAGGGGATAGTGAGATTGATCTGGATGAAGATGAAGATGAGGAGGAGGAGGAGGATGATCTGGAAGATGACAGCATGGAAATCGCCCCAGGCAAAGCCAGTCTCCGAGCAAGGAAGCCAGAGCCACTGGAGCAAAGTGATAATGACTTCTGACCCTTCAGTAGCAGGAGGCCTCTTGAAGCACAAACTTTGGAGAGGCCAGGAGCTAATACCCTGCTGTCTGAAAACTGTGTGTCAGTGTGAATCCAAAAGTTGGTAAATAATGTTTATTAAACCTGAAAATTAAACTTGGATTGCCAGGTTTGTGAATCTCAAAGCATGAGCAGTTTATCCATACTGAGAATCACAGTAATGTGCACTTATTTCCATAATTGCACTAAACTGTGCACTGCAGTGCCAGAAGTCTCACTCCAGTGAGCATTGTGTGCCTGATTTCCCTGCATTTTATTATGTCCAAATAGATTCCTTTGGCTTAATAAAACTGGATGAAAAGCTGCTCTGGGAATGCATTTCAATTGCTTTTAAATCTGGCATAAATCTATTTATCCTAAACATATCCTTTACTTAATCAAGGGCTTGTCTGCACAAAGAGCAGCACCAGGTGGACTGAAGGAGTGGAATTAAAACTGGACAAGTCTCCAGGGACACCTCAGAGCCCCTTCCAGGGCCTAAAGGGGCTCCAGGAGAGCTGCAGAGGGACTGGGGACAAGGGATGGAGGGACAGGACACAGGGAATGGCTTCCCAGTGCCAGAGGGCAGGGATGGATGGGATATTGGGAAGGAATTGTTCCCTGGGAGGGTGGGCAGGCCCTGGCACAGGGTGCCCAGAGAAGCTGTGGCTGCCCCTGGATCCCTGCGAGTGTCCAAGGCCAGGCTGGATGGGGCTTGGAGGAACAGTGGAAGGTGTCCCTGCCCACGGCAGCAGGGGGGAATGGGATGGGCTTTGAGGTTCCTTCCAACCCAACCCGTTCTGTGATGATCTGACCCCCGAGACCAGGCCCAGTCTCCCAGTGTGGGCTGCAGTTGCAGTCAGTTTTCCATGTTCTGTACTGAAGGCCCAGATGGAAGTGTCTCCATAGGTGGTGTGCACAGAGCCAGAGCCTCTCTCCCCAGGCAGCACTGCCACCCAGCCTCCGGCACAGCCAGCAGCCATTTGGCAAGGCTACTGCTGGTGGTGCAGGGGCTTGTGCCAGGAGCAGCAGCAGCAGCAGCCCCTGTGCCACTGAACTGAGCTTTCAGTTCAAATGTCCTGCAGTGCAAGAGCAAGGCTGCAGCAGGCATCATCTCATCCAAGAACTAATTTATTCCCAAGTATTTACATCTGCAGAGCTCAGCCCAGTGTTTGTGGGATCAGCCCCCAGGTCCCTGCAGCAGCCACTGGCTGCCCTGAGTGTGGCACCGTGTCCTGGCTGGGCTGGGGACAGGGGACAGTGGCTTCAGGGGGCTCTGGGGGTTCACAGGGTCACCTCAAACCTGGCGCCTCTGGAGAGTCACTGGCTCTGCCTCACACACCAAGGTACCACCTATGCACTCCCAGTCTAAAGGTGACCTGCTAGGGACAGAGCTCGCAGCTGGGACACCCCAAAGTCACAGAACACAGGTGACAGCAGCAGCAGGAGATCCAAGAGCTCTGTCCTGAAGCTGAGAGGCAGAACTTGGAGCTGAGGCAGTCCTGGTGTAGCACCAAGATGTGCTGGGGACAGCCCAGCCTCGGGCAGTGCAGTTCCTCTTGCATTCACCCTCCTACTCCTCCATTTTCCTGAGGACTCTTTATTTTCCAAGGTCTTTCCAGACAGTTCCACTCCTATGCCTTGGGTTACCTCACTCTTGCACAGAGAACAGCTCAACCAAACACTTCAGGTGTGTCAGCCAGGACCTGCTAGTGCCCAGGGTCACAGCACCACATCCTGAGCAAGGCAGCAGCAAATCTCGTGTCCATCTGGGATTTCAAGGGGAGCCAGGGGTGACAAAGCCCCAGGGAGATCACAGGAGGAGTTGCTGCCACCAGCAGATAAACCATCCACAAAATCGAGGTCTGGCATGTGGAATCTGCCCCTCCTCACTCCTTTTTGCATTTCCCCCATTCCATCAGGGCCTGGGTGAGCACAGACACGGACATAACACATCCCTCAGCTTTCAGCATTGACCCTCCCACGCTCCTGACCCAACACCCTCGGTCCTGGGCCGTGCCAGGAGCTCAGGAGCTTTCCTTGCCCCAGTTCTCATCCCTGAGATGGCACCAAGGAGCTCCCTGCAGTCAGCAGGGCAGAGGGACCCCCGGGCCCCCCTCGCTGCAGCCAGGGCCCCTCACACGTCCACGACGCAGTCGGGCGAGTTTGTCCGGATGGTGTCCGAGATCACCTTGGCTCCCGACTGCCCAATGCGATTCCCCTGCAGGCTGGGAGCAAAGACAGGAGCTGAGGCTGGGGCATGAGGCAGGGCTGGATCCTTGCTGGGGACAGGAGATGCTGCCCAGCTTCACCCCAGCATCACCTGTGCCCAGACCCTGCTCAAGGGCACTTTGAGAGCCCTGGGGCAGCCAAGGGAGGAGCTGGAGACGGCCCCAGACAGCTGGAGGGGCTGAGCCACCTCTCCCCTGGAACGTTTTGGTGTGTATCTGTCTCTTGAGGTGGTTTTTGGCCCAGAGGCATCCCTGGAGAGGCACTGAGGGCTCTGGAGCTGTGTGGGAGTGGTGGCTGTCACACTGGGAGGAGCACAGGATGCCCCTACCCTGTGGGGCAGCCAGGAATGGGCAGTGCTGGCAGTGAGGAAGGTTCTGGATGGTTCCCATGATCTCCCCCACCCACTGCAGCAGCCACTTACTTGACATAGGTGAGGCCGTGGTTGCCCTTCAGGGCGGTGGCGATGCAGATGGCTCCGTCCATGCCCAGGGAGTTTTCCTGCAGGCTGCGGGAGGCAGGAGGGTCAGACAGCACCAGGAGGGAATGCATGGGCTGGGCATTGGGAAAAGCCACCTGCTCGGGGTTTGCCCTTCTGAGAACCACTGGCTTGGCCACCCCATCGCTCTTCCCTTTGTCTGGAAAGGACAGGGAATGTTCCTGGCTCAGTGGGATACTCACTTGAGCCGTCGGAGGCTGCGGTTCACCTTCAGCGCGTTGGCCACGGCCTTGGCCCCAGCCAGGCCCAGGGAGTTTCCCCGCAGGCTGCAAACAAAGGCAGGGGTGAGGAAGCAGGGACAGCTCTGAGAGCACCCTGCGAGGGCAGGACAGTGCTGAGCCAAGGGCCAGGCTCTCAGACGGCCCAGGGATCAGTGGCACAGCCATGGGCACTTGGTGGCCCCACGGAGCTCTTACTCCAGGATCTGCAGGCTCTTGTTGACCATCAAGGCTTCTGCCAGGGCTTGGGCACCGGCCGCGCCAACTGAAGCCACTTGCAGGCTGCAAGGGAACAGGGACCCTTCAGCACTGTCCTGAGGTGGCCATGGGGTGTTAATTAGGATAATTAGGCTGTGGCACCAGGGTCCTGCTGCAGCCTGGGTACTCACTGGAGATCTGCCAGGGTGGTGTTGACCTTGAGTGCAGCGGACAGGGCGGCCATTCCCTCGTCTCCGATGGCGTTCTCCTGCAGGCTGGGACAGAAGTGTTGTGTGTGCCCATGGCCTGGGACTCAGGAGCAGGGACAGGGCAGCCAGCACAGGGCCCAGCATTCCCAAATGGCTTGGGAGAACTCCTGGGCCACAAGACATTCAGAGCATCCCCAGCCAGGGACACACAATGGGGACACAGGAGATTTCCAGGGCCTAAAGGGGCTCCAGGAGAGCTGCAGAGGGACTTGGGACAAGGGATGGAGGGACAGGACACAGCGAATGGCTTCCACTGCCAGAGGGCAGGGCTGGATGGGATATTGGGAAGGAATTGTTCCCTGGGAGGGTGGGCAGGCCCTGGCACAGGGTGCCCTGAGAAGCAGGGAGCAGCCAAGCTCCTGGGACAGTGGAAGGTGTCTCTGCCATGGCAGGGGTGGCACTGGATGAGCTTTAAGGGCCCTTCCAGTAGTGCCCAGCACCCATCCACCCATGTCCCCACTTACTCGAGGCTGGCCAGGCTGCTGTTGGACTGCAGTGCTTGTGCCAGGGCCGTGGCTGCTTTGGCCTGGAGGAAGTTCCACTGCAAGCTGCAAACAGGAGAAAATGCAAGGTGAAGCCTTGGGCTGTGAGAGTGCCCTGACCCATCCAGGTCCACATCCATCTGCACCCAGGATGTCACAGCACCCCTCCCATGGTGGGAGTGGTGGCACCCAGGGGTGCCACTGTCCCAGCCCAGAGGGGCTGAGGGCCAGAAGTGTCCCTGGCCATGTCCATGCAAGGGGCTTCAAACCCAGCCAGGCCCAGGGGGAAACTCACTGGAGGGACGTGAGTGCCCGGTTCTCTTTGATGGCCAAGGCGATGGCCTTGCCCCCATCATCGCACAGCAGGTTGGCCGCCAAGCTGGGGGGACACAGGAGTCAAGTGACAAGTGAAAAGCTGGGGACAGCTCCAGGGGGCACCATGAGGGTCTGACTGCCCTCCTGGGGCCCGTGGCACTCACTCCAGCTTCCTGAGGGTGCTGTTGCTCCGCAGGGCGCGGGCGATGGCGGGACCGCCCTCCTTGCTGATGGAGTTCTCCCGGAGGCTGGGGAAAGACACGGGGCTGGGGAGGAGCAGCCAAGGCAGGGCTGGATCAGCTGCTCCCCCACTGCCCCCTCCTGCTCTGGGGCTGAGGCCATGGACTGAGGAGAGCAGCTTGTCTGAGACCACCCCCAGCAGCTCCTGCAGCTCCGTTCCCTGTGTTTCCTGTGGGCTCCATCAGGGCTTTTTGCCAGCCTCCCATCCCTGCTGCCATCCAAGGCTGAATGAATATTGTCCCAAAGGGAGAAAGACAAAGACAGAGAGAAGTTCCTCACAGCTGGAGGAGGGAGCAAAGCTGCTTTCAGCATCTTGTGGAAACAACCAGGCACAAGCCCAGGCTGCTGGAAAGCTCCCAGGTCCCAGCAGCAGCTTTTGGCCAGGCTGGAGGGACTGTCACTTACTTGAGGCTGAGGAGTCCCTTGTTGGAGCAGAGAGCTGCTGTCAGTGCTGTGACCCCTGTGCTGCTGATGGAGTTGCTCTGGAGACTGAGACAAACGGGGAGGGTGTGAGGATGGGCCAGTCCTGGCATCACAGCTGGGCTGCAGGGTCATGTTTGGGGTGCAAAGTGCCCCTTTCACTGAGAAAAGGGAACAGGGGCAGGAAGGAGCAGCACTGGAGCATCGGGGGGGGGGCCTCAGCCATTCCTGCTGACTCAGCAGCACCAGCCCAGCAAGCAGAGGGGACAGGGTTTGCCAGCACTTCGGGGCAGCCTTGTCCCCACCTGTCACCGAGGCTGCTGCCTCAGCTGGACATGTGGCTCCCCTGAGTTTGGGATCCTTGTCACAGGGACAGAACCAGGGCATAGCCACTCATCACCAGGAGCCATCAGCCCTTGTCTCCAGGTGCTGTTCCCATATTGAATGAAGGTTGCACCATTCCAGCCTGACTCTGCCAGCCCCCATTACCTCCCTCCTTAGCCAATTCCCGACACTTTTGAGAGAGAGAACATCCAAAGCTACTGATTTCCTCCAAGCCAGAATAAAAAGTCATCACTGGGTTTTGGGATTAGTTCTGTCAGTGCCCCTTGGTGCAGGCAGGGCCAACCTGGCTGCCTCATTGTGTTCCAGCCTGCACATCCAGGGAATGTGGAGTGGGACAGACACGGGGAGGAGCTGAGGGCTTGAGGGGTGGCAGATTTTGCTGGAAGGAGGAGGCTGGGCTCTGTTGTCAAGGAGGGGGAGCTTACTCAAGGCTTTGCAGGCTGTGGTTCACCCTCAGAGCTTCGGCCAAGGCGATGGAGCCGTTGTCTCCCACCGAGTTGCTCGAGAGTCTGAGACAGAAGAGGAAGTTTGGAACTGCCAGCAAGGGATTCACCTCCCCCGGGCTCTTCCTGCTGCAGCAACGAGCATGAACTCGCTGCCACCTCATTCCCCACCTACGTACACCTCTGTTCTCGTGCCTGGTTTGAGCTGGAATAGCTTTTCATGTTTCCCCAGCCCTGCTGCAGAGGGATCTGCCAGAGGGGAAATGGCTTCTCCTTTCTTTATGTGGCTCCCTGCATCCCTGGAGATACAGAGAGCATCTCCAAACCTCCAAACCCTCCTGCCTGCCACGTGCTCCTGCCCCTTTCCTGCCATTCCTGCCCACAGATCTCAGGATTTGTGGCATTGGCACAGCCATCCCTCCACCTCATGGTGCTCACATCAGCTCCCTCAGGCTGCGGTTCTGCTTCAGCGCCTCCGCGATGTCCCGGGCGCCCTGGGCTCCGATGGCGTTTTTCTGCAGGCTGCAAGGGTGAGCAAGGCACCTGTGAATGGCAGGTGCCACATCCCCATCGGTGGCACTGCAGCCTGCTGGGGGCTGCAGGGGGGACAGCACGTCCGGGTCACTCACTGCAGGGTCACCAGCCGGTGGTTGGTCAGCAGGGCCTCGGCCAGGAAGGTGGCCCCGTGCTCCTTGATGGAGTTGTGCTGGAGGCTGTGGGACACAGGAGTGAAGCCATGTGTGGATGCTTCCAGGGGCTGCAGGGCAGTGCTCACCTGCCCTGGGGTTTGAGAAAGGGGTCTGACCCCCAGGCATCCCTGACCAGGAGTGTCCTTCCCTCCTCTCCCATGGGAGATTCCTTCTTCCATGAAACAGCACCCTGAGAGCTCCCATGCACAGAAGGACCTCAACCTGAACCTCAACCCCACCCCACTGAAGCCAAGAGGCAGGAGAATCCCAGCTCTCTGGCCCAGGGCAGTCCCTGGGTCTGTGCCAGCTGCACTCGTGTTCACTGCCCAGCACTGACCCAGGGTTTGCCCAGGGTGTGCCCATGTGCTGGCCCTTGGAGCTTGGGAAAACCCCAGTGGGACAGAAGAGGGGTGGAAGGGAGCCTGCCCTGGGGATCTGCTCCAGGAGGTGCTCCAGAAGTTGAGACTTACTTCAGGGACAGCAGGATTTGGTTTTTTTTCAGGGCATCAGCCAGGGCTTTTGCTCCGGTGGGGCCGATGGAGTTGCTCCGCAGGCTGGGGCGGGACAGGCAGGAAAGCCAAGGTTAACAAAGCCGGACTGGCACAGGCCCAGTTTAATCCAGATGCCTCCACATGGCACTGCTGAGGTGGGACATCAGGCCAGCAGCTTGTGGTGGTGGCTTTAGGGGCTGGAGACCCTCCCCAAGTCAGGGCGGGTGGGATCCAGCCCTGCCGTGGCCGGGGATGGTTCCCAGTGGGAATGTGTGTCCCACTGGAGCTGGGGAGGGGGGAACACTTACTCCAGCACCGTCAGGCTCCTGTTCACCAGCAGAGACCTGGCCAGAGCTTTGGCTCCCTTGTTGCTGATCTGATTTTCTGCCAAGCTGCACAGAAAAAGGAAAATCTGGTGTTTTTCCAGGGCCTGGCATGTCCCAGGATCCAGCTGGGATGGTGAGCAGAGAGGGGCCGTGGGGAGCACTCGGTTCATGGCACAACCAAAGTGATGGATGTTCTCCTGGGGTGGGCACCAGGCAGGGACGTTTCTGGGCATCAGATTAATTTGTGTCCTATAAAGGAGCTCAGATGGCAGCATGGGGAACTCTGTGCAGCCTTGGGGAAGAGCAGCAGGTGGGGAAAGTGGGAACCCATCTGTCTGGGATGAGGCATCTCCCTGCATGGGGGCCAGGAGCCTGTCCCCTGTCCCCTCCCTGCTCCATGCAGAGCCTCGAGTGTCCAGCACTCTGCTGTGACCTTGGGAAGTGGTTTGTTGGGATAACCCATGGATTTATTGACAAATTTTTAGGAACAGTGAGGAGGCAGCAAGGAGACTGTTCTTGTCATCAGGCACCCTGGGGAGCCAGTGGGAGAGACATTCCTGGGGGACCCTGACCCCGGCTTTGCGGTGCCCCCAGCTCCCCAGGACATCCCATCTGCCCTGGGCTCCCACCTGAGCCTCTGGATCTGGCAATCCTTCACGCTCAGCACACTGCCCAGCAGCTCCATCACATCGTCCTTAAACTGGTTATTGTCCAGCCTGCAGAAGACACAAGAGCAAGAGCAAGGGTTTGGAGAACAAAGTGGAGAAAGGATGATCCCCACGACATCTGCCTCTCCCAGGGGGAGAACTCAAGGACAAGCGGAGCTGACCCAGTGCCACCCCCAGGGTGGACAACAGGTGGTGGACCCTTCTCTGCAGGTGGACAACATTTGGTGGACCCAGGTCTCCACTGACACCTGGGACTGTGAGTCACAGGGGAGAGAGAGCTCACTGCAGCCTCCAGTACTTAGAAAGGACTAACAACAGGGAACAGTTTAAACTAAAAGAGGAGAGATTTGGAGTTAGGATGAAATTCTTCCCTTCTGGGAGGGTGGGCAGGCCCTGGCACAGGGTGCCCAGAGAAGCTGTGGCTGCCCCTGGATCCCTGGAAGTGTCCAAGGCCAAGCTGGACAGGGCTTGGAGCAGCCTGGGACAGTGGAAGGTGTCCCTGCCCACAGCAGCAGGGGCTGAGACTGGATGGGCTTTGAGGTCCCTTGCAACCCAAACCACTCTGTGATTCCACAGCCACAGCCTGGCATCTCTCCTCGCTTCTCCTGGTGCAATCCCACCAGGACTCACCTGAGGTTGTGGCAGAAGAGGAGCTGGGAGAGCAGGCTCTTACAGACATTGTAGGTGAGGCAGTTGGAGAGGTTTGTCTCCTCCAGGCAAACATCAGAGACCTGCAGGAGATAAGCCAGGGCAGAGCAGTTCATGGGGGTGAGCATCCCGGCCAAGCTCTCGCTCCTCATGGCCTCCTCCACAGCCTTGGCGGTGTCCGTGTGCTGGATCTCGTGCAGGCAGCGCACGGCGTTGACGGCGCGCGAGGAGACGGCGTGCTCGGCGTTCAGGCAGCCCTGCAGGACGCCGATGGCCTGGCTCCTGAGCCCGCCGTGCTCGTCCTTCACCAGCAGCCACCCTGAGAGCAGCTCGTTCACCTGCGGGGACAGGAGCCCCGAGAGGAAGCGGATGAAGATGTCCAGCTGCCTGTCCTCGGCCTGCAGCGCCCGCTGAACGGCGCTCCTGAAGTGGCTGAGGAAGCCCAGCCTGGGCCAGGACACGCCGCTCTCTGTGAAGAGGTCGAAGAAGGCCCGCTTGGCCGCCGTGTAGTAATAAAGAGCTGCCAGGAACTCCTGGATGGTTAAGTGGGAGAAGCAGTAGGCTGTGGAGGCCTGCATGTCCTCCTTGAGCAGGAGGCGGCTGGAGAGGCTGCTGTGCAGCAGGGAGAGGTCGATGCCGTAGGCCTTCATGTCCTGCTCGTAGAACACGTGTTTCCTCCGCAGCAGCCCGCAGAAGGCCAGCCTGCCCAGGCTGCCCACCAGCTTCTTGCTGGTGTTCACAGCCTGCTCAATCCTGAGGGTTTCTCGTGGCTTTTCCAGCCAGTCACCGCTCAGAGCCATTTTAAAATAATAGGAGTAGATTTCTGACAGGGTCCTGGGGACCACGGTCGCTTCTTGGGATCGGTCGCTGCTGCATTTCAGGAAATAAGCGATTGAGGAGCCAGAAATCCAGCAAAAACTAGGAATGGTGCACAGGACGTGTAGCGACCTGTTAGCCCTGATGTGCTGCAGGACTTGGCTGGACAGATCTCTGTTGCCCAGGAACATCTGGTCCAAGAAGTCCTTCATCTCTGCAGCCCCAAACCCTCGGATTTCCGTCATCCGATCCACCAGCCCGCTGGGAATCTGCCTGGCCGCCGCCGGCCGCGACGTGACCCACACGGAGGCCTCCTGCAGCAGGTTACCCCTGATAATGTTGGTGATCAGGCTGTCCACTTGGATCTCCTTCTTGGGATCGGTGCAAACCACTGCGTTGGAAAAATCCAAGGGGGTTTTGAACTCATCCAGGCCGTCGAGGATGAGCAGGGTCCGGGCGGCTCCGGCCGGGACGGGGCCGGGCTCGGTGGTGTGAGGGCGGGCCGAGCACAGCAGGCGCTCGGCAGAGAGCTTCTCGTAGGTGTTGAGCTCCCGGAAGGTGAGGGGCAGCACGAACATGGTGTCCCTGCTGATCTCCCCCTTTGCCCAGCTGCAGACAAACAGCTTCACCAGCGTGCTCTTGCCAATCCCGGCCACGCCGATGGTGACGGAGATCCGAGGGGGGATGCTGACTTTGGAGAGAGGCAGGAACAGTTTCTCCAGGGGGATGCTCTGGGATGTGTTTGGCAGGCCTTTGGTGGTTTCCACCTGCAGGATGTCGTGCTCCTTCTGCTGGATGTCGGTCAGGCCTTCCACCAGCAGCAGGTTGGTGAGGCGCTGCAGGGCTCCTGTCTCCAGGCCATTCCCACAGGAGCTCTGGAGGCTCTCCAGGTGCTTCTGCACGACGGGTTCTGCACAGACAAATGAAACAGATGAGGAGGAACCACAAAGGCAGATGACAGAAGCTGCTTCACTTTTCTGCCATGCCCATGCAGAGGGAAACCTTAATCCTGGTGGGAAGGTACATGGCAGGGCTCAGAGGGCACCAGTGGGCCTAAAGAGCCCTGATCAGCCTCACAGTCAGTCAGGAGCCCATTTAAGCTCAGCCTTGGGCCTTCAGCCTCAGCTAAAGCTGTGTTGAGCTAGATCAATCCTGGACCTCATTGCCTGGTGGCCACTGGTCTGTTTCTGAACCTGCTTGCCCTTGCTGGGCCTGATCCTGACCTCTCGATTGTCTTCCCAACTTGACTCCATTCCTGCCTCATTGCCATGGACTCTCTGATGACCTGGACTCTTGGCTGAACCTGGTGGCCACCTCTGGAGCTGTCCTGCTCTCCTGGCTCAGGTACCACAGCAGAATGAAACCCAGGGATAATGGTGTGAGAGATTCGGAGCCAACACCAGCCGAGGCTGGAGCCTTCCAGCCAGGAGGGAAATCAGGGAAACCTCTCCTGGCAAGAGGATTGCAGAAACAGCCTGGAGCTGGGGCAGCCAGCAGCAGACAGGGTCAGGGTCAGCTGTCCTATTCCTGTCCCCAGCCTGGGGCTGGGACTGGTGTGATTTGGACATTGAGGATGTTAAAAACTCCTCAGGCTGCCCAGAGAGGTGTGCAGAGGGGCCTGGAGGAAGGTCCCTCAGACCTGGCAGAGAGCCCTTGTCACCCCCAGCTCTGTGCACACCTCAGGGTGCTCCAGCAAGCACCAGGCCACCCCTGCAGCCCCCCTGGCTGGGTTCCCCACACAGACACTGGTGTGAGCTGGAGGTGTCCGTGAAGCTCTGCAGGGACAGGGAGGTGTGGCTGTCCCTGCCAGCTGGGACATGAAGCTCACCTGCTGGGGCAGGGGGCTCACTGCCTGCACCTGGGCAGCCCCCTGGGCCCTCAGGAGCTCCAGCCTGTGCAGAGGGGAGGCGATGTCCTCCAGGAGCTGTGGGGAGATGGATCTCGCCAGCTGCCGGTGGTACCGGTTGATGCAGGCCCCTGTGGGACAGGACAGAGGGACAGAGGGACAGAGGGACAGGTGGGTCCTGGAGCAGCCCTGGGAGTGAGGGGTGACAGGGAAAGGCAGCAGTGCAGAGCTGCCTCTGACTCTGAAGGTAGCAGGGGTGAGCTCCAGCCCTGCAGTGCCCTGTCCAAGCCCCCCATGTGATGATGCCATCCCAAAGCCCTGGCAGGAGGCTTTGCTAGGTCAGGGCAGCACCTACTGAAACTGGAGCCAGAGGCTGAAGAACAGAACCATGAAATGGCATTTTCTCCTGGAATCCAAACCCACGCAGAGCAAAAACTCTGAGCATGATCATTCCTGTCCAGAGACAGCCATTCCCCCGGTGCCAGCACAGCACTGCCTGCATCTGCTCACACCTCCCTGCCCCACCTCATCCCATTTCTGACTCCAGAGCTCCCCAAGGTGACAAATCAGCCCAACCTCTCCTCACCTTCCATCAGAGGCCTCCTGTGACATGGGCAGTCCCGGGGAGAGCAGCGCTGTGGTGGCAGCAGCAGGATCCCATGGGCCGCCCCGTGTGCCCCTGCTCAGCTCACAGCACCAGCCAGGGCTCCTCAGCCCCTGTCCATGGCCCTGCTGGAGGAGGATAAGCATCAGGAGGCATCAGGAGGCATCAGGAGCATCAGGAGCAGTGTGGGAGGCAGCTCTGAGCTGTTGTGGTGCTGGGTGTGGTTGAGGCAGGGGTTCATTGCTCAGCTTTTGGCTGAGTCCCCCTCACTGCGGGCCCAGACCTCACACACTTGGTGCCTTCACCACCACCAGGTGCACCTTCCTCAAGCAGTGGTGCATGAGCTGCCCTGGCAATGGCCCTGAGCCACCTGTGGGTCACCTGGGGAGAGCCTGAGGGTCACCACGGTCACCAGGGCTGGGAACTGCTCGAACATTCTTCTTCCCTGTGTTGTGCAGGAAGCTGTGGGGCAGCAGGCAGTGATGAAGGGCCTGGTTTGGTTTCAAACCCACCTTGCCCCCATCCAGAGCCTCTGTCAGGGCTTGCTGAGCGGAGCCAGCACCACATCCTGTTGCAGAGCTCTGAGGATGCTCTGAATCATCACCCAGAGGAGAATCTACCTTCCCCCTCCCCCTCAGCTGCTGCCAAACCACACCGAGGGTTTGGTGTTTATTTTTAAGAAGTGAATCTGCTCAGAGTCCTGCTGTTCTCAAGCAGAGGCAGAGAGGGAAATGTCTCCGTGCCTGAGAGCGCTCCCAGCTCCGCCTGCGTTAGAGGCACAGTGCTGTGGCCTCTCCACCAGCCCCAAAGTCATCTCCAGCCATGTCCAGCTGGGAACTCCTGAGCCCCAGGGGGTGGCTGACCACAGGAGCAAGGCACGCACAGTGTTGCAGTCCTGGCATCTTTCCTCCCCTCCACCTGGCCTACAGGATGCTCTGGATCCAGGTGAACCCCTCCATGCTGGTCAGAGGCTCTGAGGGGGTCCCTGCCCTCAGCCAGCCTTGCCTTTGTCAAACCCAGCCCTGAGGGGGAACGTGGGCACTGTGGGGGCTTTGCTGCAGCCTCAGGGACAGTACAGGTACCACTCTTTGGTCAAACCTCTCCTAGGGACAAAGCACAGATGTAGCTGGGCCAGGAAAACCTGGCAGAGTTTCTGATCCGTGGTGTGAGGCCAAGGTGTTTGGAACCTCTCCTGCTCGTCCTCTCTCCCAGGGATCCATGCTGGGGTTATTTCTCCCCCCAGAAGCACAAGAGTGCAGAAGGTGGAGGGACCTGACGCTGTCCCCAGGGCTGAGTCCCTCCCAGGCCAGGCAGACACGAGTGGCACGTCCCACAGAGTGGGGTGACAGAAGCTGCTGGGTGACAAAGCACCAGCCCAGCCCCACCTGCCCAGGGGGTTCCTGACAAGCCCCAGTGGGGCTGGGAGGTGCTGCTGGAGCAGGGTCTGAGCCCACTGCCTTTCCCTGCAGGATGGGAGGCTGGGCTCTGACCCCACGGGCAGTGCTGGTGATCCCACAGCAAAGCCCTGGCAGCAGCAGCTCTTCCTCATCACCCCCCAGGCAGCGGCCTGGTCAATGAAGAGAGCATCAATTAAAGCAGCTCAGTGAGCAATTCACAGCAAAATGTTCAACTTTTGATGTGTTCTTGTCTCTAACTGGCCTGGAAAGTTCAATTAAGCCTTTGCAGGCGCCAGGTCTGTCTCTGATCTGTGCGAGCCAGAGCACAGCCAGAATGAAAAGGGCTTTTGCTGCTTGCAGCGCTGCTCCCTGCAGCCCTTCCTCTGAAACGTGGCCCTTTGATGGGGGAAACCTGCTCCAGCACCAGGGAATGTTTGCTGCTCTCCTCTGGTGCTCCTCCAAAAACCAGCAGCCGTGGGCCAGCTCGTGCAGAGGCATCTCAGTGGAGGATGGAGCAGAAGAAATAATGCAAGGGCTGGGTTTTTTTCTGGTTCCAGTAGTTTTGGGTGCAGCTCTAGCACCACACGGGGCTGGAGGGAGTTCCCTGTCTGAAGGGTAAGGGCCAGCCAAATCCAAGCTCCATAACCCCTACAGAGATCCAGGTGGGTCCAGGATGGGACCCAGCTCATTCCAAGGCGGTGAGTCCTGCCTGAGGTGTCCATCCTGCACACCCTGGGTGTGCAGCTCTGCCTGGCCAGGATCCAGCAGTGTCCCCCTGGCAGCCAGAGGAGCAGGGATGCAGCTTTGTGTCTGCCCTGCCCTGCCTGTGTCCCCAGGAAAATTGGGATAAGGGGCTGGAGGCTGCCCAGCCAAACTGGGGAATGGCACCTGCAAGCCCCAGGGAGGGAAATGGGATTTTTCTTGCCAAGAACTTGGCGTTAACACTTTCTTTTCTTTTGCTTAGTGTGGTCCAAAGGTCGAGCTCAGGAGAAAATCCTGTTTTCTAAGGATGTTTAGACAACACTGATGTGTTCTTCCAGCAGATCCAATCCCACCATCCCTACATCCCACCCCATCCTGTCCCTGACCAAAACCTGTGCTGGGAGCACTGTGCTGGAAGGTGCCCACCTCGTGCACAGCCAATCCTCTCCCAGACAGCTGCTGTGGCTTTCACTGTGTCCATCCTGTTCAGGGTTCAGACTCCTGACACCAGAGAACACCAGAGGAGCTGGAAACAGCTGCTCCTGCTCATCTAATTCTGTTCACTCCTGGAAGCCTGACATGGCCAGAGCAGCATGGGATGAAGGGACACTCCTGAGGTGGCCACAGCATGAAGATGGAGACAAAGGGCATTTCCTGCCTCCCAGGTGTTCCTCCTGCCCCACACAGATCCATCACCCCGTGCCTCAGGAATGTGCTGAGGACCTGGGACTGTGCCAGGCCAGGAGCTGTCCCACAGCACCAGGACTGCAGCAGGTGACACTCAGCGCTTGGAAATGTGTGTTTGTCCCCCTGAAGGGGCTCGTGGGGAGATTCACCAGCAGCAGGGGGACAGGGTTGGCAGCTCCAGTGGGATTTCCCAGCTCACAGAGCCCTGGGGACCCAGCTGGGCTGGGGATGGGCCAAGGGTGCCAAGGCTAGACGGGCACCAAAGAGCTCCTGGATGGCTGCAGGCACCCACAAATGGAAAACATCTAAAAATGGACTGATCTACAAAATTTACATAAGGTTAAAAACCTTTTATACGAGCTAAAAATTGCCCCATCACACAGCACCTGCAGGAGGTGCCCACTCCAGCCCAGCTCCACATCCCAGACACGCAGGAAACCTCAGCCTGGCCATCTCCCTGTCCATGTGCCAGCACCGTGGGGTTCCTCCAGGCAGCCCCAAAGCCCTTTTTATTCCCCAAAGCTCTGAGCTGGGGCTGAGGGAGCCCCGGGAGCTGCTCGGGCCCCTTCACTCGCTCACCTTGGGCTCTTTATGGTTATTTCTCCTGACCTGATCCCACCTCGGAGGTCAGAGAGCCGCCTGGAAGTGAAAACATTTCCCAACACCTCCAGCTGTTCCCCCTCAGCTGAGCGAATCCCGAAGCCAGGATGCAGGCTGCCACCTTTTGGCAGAACCGATTTCACATCGTTCATTTCTGTTAATTAAACGATGCCGTAAAATACCTTCTCCATTATTACTCAATTATGACACTTGCAGACCGGCAAATAACTCAGTTATCTAAGTTTACATATTATTTGTATTTTTTTTTAATTTAATTCTAGCAAAATGTATTGCCAAATGTATTTTATGTCAAATTTAATCTCTTCCAGGTTTGAGTTTTGTTTTTTTTTGTTTCCTCGAACCCCAACCCCGATAACAGGGCCCAGACACAGCAGGGGTTAAAGAGGAGGTGAGGGGCCATGAAGAGCCCCTGGGCTGGATGGCAGCAGTGCCAATCCCAAATCTCACCAGAAAAAAAAAGGACAAATGGATCTATGGGTGATTCCAACCAGCTAAAAATGAAACTGATTTTGGGGATGAGGTCCCTTGGACTGCTGCACCTCACAAGCTGCAGAATGGTGGCTGATGCATTTCCTGAGCTCCGAGGATGCTTTACCACAGATGTGCAAACAGCTGATTGAAAAGCAGATCAGCAAACAGCTCCTGCCCTTCCCACCCGGGGCACCTCAGGATATCGGCAGGAAAATGGAGCAGGAGCTGCTGCCAGCCCGTCTCTGTCACAGCCCCAGCCCCGGGGATGCTGATGGATGTGGTACCCGCCCCAGACACCTCCGGGTTTGGTCAGAACAACCTTCCTGAGCTTGCAGAGCGTCCCAAAGAGCAGCTGCAAGTTCTCCAGAAATAAATTCTTGTGCAATATGAACATCCCGAGTGGGAGGTGTCCCCTGGCTGCCAGCGATGCCGTTCTGGCTTTGGAGAACTCTTCCAGGTGCTGGCCAAAGCCTGAGGGATGGGGATACCCCAGGGGTGACAGCAGCCAGCCTGTGCTCCAGCAGTCCCACATTTATGGGCTACACAGTGCCCAGAAATGCCTAAATAACAGCAGGATTATGTCTGGTGCCCTGGGCTCTGTGGCCAGCCGGGTGCAGGGCTGAGCTCCAGCCCCCCGAGCTGCTCCTGTGACACCCCAGGGCCTGCCCCACTCCCTGAGCCGTGCCACAGGTGAGTGTGTCACTGATCTCTTCCATTTCTATTGGTGGTACATCCTGGAGTCTGTTTTGGATGCTTTGGAAGTTAATTAGTTCAGCAATGACTAATTAAGGGGAGGGGGGAAGCTGCTGCACGAGGCTTTGGGCAGGCAGGACAGCCTGGCTGGGGCTGCCTTCATGCCCTGGCAGGCAGAGCGGGCAAGGGGACAGAATTTGTGACATGTGCCAGGTCAGCTGTGCCATGCTGTGCCATGCCATGCTGTGCCATGCCGTGCCATGCTGTGCCATGCCATGCTGTGCCATGCTGTGCCATGCCATGCCATGCTGTGCCGTGCTGTGCCATGCTGCATGCCATGCTGTGCCATGCTGTGCCATGCCATGCCATGCCATGCCGTGCCATGCTGTGCCATGCTGTGCCATGCTGTGCCATGCTGTGCCATGCCAGGGACCTCT